TACGCACAATGCTATGAAAATGAGATGTTTCGAAATGCGTGCACACAGGTACGTAAACCGAGAAAATGACAGAATGCGATCTAAGATACAACCTAGTATGCACTATGCTGTAAAAAAAAGATGCCTCGAAATGCGTGCACACGGGCACGCAAACCGAGAAAATGACATACGCAATGCAAATGACATGGAAATATGATATGGGCTTACACTAACATGAGAGAGCCTCAGCCACGCTCACATAAGAGGCCGATGGATGAAAATGAAGTGCCTCGAAACGCGTGCGCACGGGCACGCAAATCGAGGCAATGGCATATGCAATGCAATATGGATAAAATGATATGCAAACATGCTAATGGAATTTCAGAACTGAAATGTGGGGGAAAACAGCTCCGAAATGAGGCGAAAGTGCACCCGATGCATGGAATAGTCCTGAAACATAAATTTTGGCACCCGAAATGGCCTATAGCTATACCAAATATGCACAATATGGACATGCAATGAATAGACAGTAGCAAGGCAGCCCAAAAATTAGCATTTTACCAGTACAAAACATGGCCAAACAGCAAGCATAGATAGGGCAACAATGGCATGCAAAAATAGGGGCCAAGAGAGGGCAATGAAACAAGTGGTATATGAAAAACCCAACCTGAAAAATTCCCTTCTACAACACTGAAGAGGGACCAAAAATATTCACATTTACAATTTATGGAAGCCCCAAAATCAGTATACAAACATGCTAGAAATGCAATGCAAAATGAGGCTCAAAAGTGGCTATAACACAAAGTATACAAAATATTCAACAAAAAGCCAAAGACCCTTAATGAAACATGAAAAGGGGGTCAAAATAAGACTATTTTTAGTTCTGTAAAATGACCAAAAACAGAAGCACAAGGGGCTGCCAAATCATGCAAGAAAAGGGGACCAAAGAGGGATATAACATGAAGTGGCATATGGAGGTCCCAAAACATGAAATACCCTTAATGAAACATGAATAATGGGCCAAAATAAGACTATTTTCAGTTCTGTAAAATGACCAAAAACGGAAGCACAAGGGGCTGCCAAGGCATGAAAAAATGGGGACCAAAGAGGCATATAACATGAAGTGGCAGATGGAGGTCCCAAACAGTGATGAGCCCTTCTTCAATGTTTAAGAGGGACTCAAAATAAGCCTATTTACAGTTTATATCATGCTCCAAAACAGATCACAAATAAGCTAAAAATACTACGCAGGATAACGGTATTTAAGAAGGATATTGAAGCAAGTGCAATATGGGGGGCTCAAACAGTGTTGAGCCCTTAAGAAAAAGTGAAAAATAGCTCAAAAGAAGGCCATTTTCAGTTAGGGCCGGAGCTCAAAACAGCAAGCATGTATGGCTTATAAATGGTGCAAGAAATGGACCAAAAAGGGGGAAATGCCACTCACCCTTGAAGACAAGTCTTTTGTTGCTTCTTGGCTTGAGAAGTGGTGCCTCTTAGCTGCTGGAAAGCTTCCCAAGTTGCTGGAAATGGAGTGGTGGTGGTGGTGCTTGGTGGTGATGAAGAAATGAGGTGTAGGACTTGGATGTTTTGAGAAAATGAGAGAGATAGAGGGAGATTTGGATGCAAGAGTTGAAGGAAATTTTTTCTAACCCCTAATACAAGAGATGGCAGCTGGTTGTATGGACCAAGGAGAGGGGGAGCATGGAGGGAAAGGGTGGGGGAAAAGGACCAAGTCCTTTCCCCAAAGGCTGTTTCCCTCGGATACAAATCTTTTTGGGAAAAAAAGTATACAGCTGTAAAGTGCACAACCTAGGGATTATGGCTGGCCACCTTTTGGAGCTTCAGGTGGCCGGCCGGCCAAGGGTCAAAAGGGTCAATGAGAATTAGTATCCGACCATATGATATTGGTGGCCTCCCAGGTCCCCTCATCACAACCCTGTGGTTCAAAATTGCAAACTGTAAAACAAGAGAGAGAATAGGGATTTGCATCATTCTCATTCGCATGACAAAACTCGTCCTTGAGTTTTTATTACTTGAAATAATTTGTTACACTAATACTTGTTTGCATCCACATTGTATTTAAAATTGATTTTCTCAAACCTAAATTTTAAATGAGTTTCTATTACTTGAAATAATTTGTTACACCGACACTTGTTTGCATCCACATTGTATTTAAAATTGGTTTTCTCAAACCTAAATTTTAAATAACAATCCCAAAATGACAGGAACAACTTTCTTTAGTAAATTTAACCCATTTTCATTGAAGCCTGAATCTCGATATATGAAATTCAAAGCAAAGTCTTCAACAAATTGTCTTTTTGTAGATATCAAACCACACAGCCCCACCTAAATTCATAAGAGTACCCACTTCCTTATTTGTATCAATAAATTGTAGTAACTCCATTGTAAAAGCATGATCTTGAATGACTTGGTGACCGTCAATCGCATCCACAATCATATTATCATTCAACAATTGTTTGGGCAACCATATTTGAAGTTGTGATTCGTTTTGCTCAACATTAAATAATTTTTCGCCAACTCTATCTTCTAAATTGATTTCAATAATCTTGTCTTCATGAACTTCATCATCTTCCTCAAAATACTCATCAGATTTTGAAGGTAAATCCTAATCAATATGTGGCTATAATGATGAAGATTTTATGTCCAAAAATATTTTATCGAATTCTTCTTCTACTATATCAACACAAACTAGAAATCCTTTAGGTTGTAAATAAACCTTAAACTCTGGTACATCAAGTTTGAAGCCCGACTCCCATCAATCGATGCATTTATTTGCAAATCGATGCCTCTGTTGTGGTTTGTATGTGCCAATCGGGTTCATGTCTTCATTCTCAATATCATTCTTATTCTTCTCCTCCACAAATTGTGAATTTGGCTGACGGTTGTGAGGGTCATTTTCTAACGTTCATAGCTTCGAAACGCTCAAATAAAGTTGCAAGCATCCTTTCAAAGCGCTCTAAATGTCGAAACCTCTCTTCTATTCAAGCATTTCGTGTTGCGTGATCTCGCTTCTACACCTTCTCAATAGCGGCATATCGACCACATGGTGCTCCTCTTGAAGTCATGATCAGGACTCGAGTCTATGCTTTGATACCAACTAATGCAGCGAGAAATGTAAAATAATGACAACTTTAGAATCCATTGATTGAAAACTCAATACAGAACTAAAGATACTCTCTCTAAGAATAAACAATTTTGAGAAAACTCTCAATTTTATTAATCAAATATCAACTTGAACTGAATAGCCTTAAGGCTTACAATCTTATTTATAATAAATCTACTTTTTACTAATCAAGAAAATATAAAAAAGAAAAAGATATATATATATATACAATCTTGTTAGTCAAGAAAATTTAAAAAGGAAAATATTAATTTTTGTAAAATAAGAAAACAAACTAAATAGGCAATCTAAGGATCAACAATTTTTGAGTTAAATTATAAATAAAAATCTACTATTATTATTTTAGCTAGAATTGTTTTTTTGTATATACTTCATCAGGCTCTCTATTCTAAAATTTAATTTCATAAAATATTTATTTTTATTCATTTTCTTTTCTTTTATATTTAAATAAATTTTTTTAAAAAATTCAATGGACAACTAGGTGGTCGACCAGGTGATCGATCACTTGGTGGAAATTGCTCAATTTTTCCATATTAAGGTGGTTAACCAGGTGGATGACCAGATGGTCGACCACTTGGTGAAAATTGCCTAGTTTTACCTTTAGAATAAATAATAAAATTATGAATAGTACCTCGCTTGATGAAGCGAGGTATTGTAACAATGGCAAGTTTTGTTTTGCAATAGCCAGCCTGATGGAGGACTGATTTGGAACATTCGATTGCTAGTATAACCTCAAAATCATAGTAAAGAGCATGACGTGGATGCTCTAAATAACGGAAAATGTTTGAGACCCAAAAAGACTTCCATAATTCTACCCACAATGTTATGTCAAGATATGTGTCAACTTTTATTGTTATTCACCCAATCATTGAGGGCCCAATTCCCTTACTACATCATTGTAGGTGAATTTGTAAGTCAAATGTGTTAGTTTCTAACATTATTCCTAAATAAATAAGAAAACTAAATATTTTAGTTTTAAATACCAATTATAATTAAATAATAAAATAAATATATAATTTATATATTATGATCTGTGTCAAGCAATACTCCAAAACTACTAAATAATCACTCTAGATATCTTTCAATCCATTGATTTAAAATAATAATAATAATAATAATAATAATAATAATAATAACAATAAATAATTCATTTATAATTGGTATTTTACTCAGAATATATATAGCTTTCTTCACAGAGGAGGAGGAGAGAAGTGGGGACAAAACCAGCTGGTAGTAGGCACCCACGTAGGTCACTTCTAATAATATTAGGAAGCAGCTATGAACACTTCCTTCATTAAAGAAAAAAGCAGCGTGCTGTGGCTGCTATGTGGCTGACCCACTTTCACTTATGGCGGTGCCGCGGCTTCGCCTGGGTCTGTGTTATAGATAGCAGCCTAGCAGGTGAATGAATATATACTGATGGAGCTAGCTGTAAGTAGTTTAGCGAACCCCATATTAGCCAGCTGTTTTGCAACAACACTTTTCACCAACCCACACAAAGCATTATCGTCTAGCTAATGTTAAGAATATCAAATTTTTTAGCACGTGAGTGTGGGGTTCCTAATTTTCAAATTTGTGTTTATGCAGTTGTCATCACAAGGATCAACACATGATGAGATAGACTTTGAGTTCTTGGGGAATTTGAGTGGTGATCCATACATTCTTCACACCAATGTGTTTAGCCAAGGCAAAGGCAACAGAGAGCAACAATTCTACCTATGGTTCGACCCCACTGCCGATTTCCACACCTACTCCATCCTCTGGAACCCCCAACGCATCATGTAAGTAATCTAAAAATAGTGAAAATTGACATTGCTCTCAACTTTGCACTCAAAATTTTGTATTGATTGTCTAATTTTTTTTGGGGGGGGGGGGGTCGCTTCTCAGTAGATGGAACACCCATTAGAGAGTTCAAGAATGCAGAGTCAGTTGGTGTTCCATACCCAAAGAACCAACCCATGAGGATATACTCCAGTCTGTGGAATGCTGATGATTGGGCAACAAGAGGTGGACTTGTGAAGACTGATTGGACTCAAGCTCCATTCACTGCTTCATACAGAAACTTCAATGCCAATGCTTGCATTTGGTCTTCTGGATCATCTTCTTGTTCTTCTTCATCTTCTAATAGCAATGCATGGTTCTCAGAACAGTTGGATTCCACAAACCAAGAGAGATTGAAATGGGTGCAGAAGAACTACATGATATACAATTATTGCTCTGATGTGAAGAGATTTCCTCAGGGCCTCCCACCAGAGTGTAACATGTCCTAGAGAAGTAAAACTCAAAACTCACTATTACTCAACTTTTCCACTGCCACTGTATTGTATTTATGATATTCTTTTGTATGTAACTCGCACAATTCAATAATCTTATTTGTGGTTGTTGTGATAATTCTTGAAATCAATAATAGGGATTTCTGTTTTCTATATTCATCCAAAACCAATGAAGTCATGGAAGGCCCCATGTTGGGAATTTGTGAATGATTTTTCTTTTCTTTTTATTTATTTTTAATTGAAGTTATTAATTGGATTGAAAAATCTATTCAAATAGGAACAAAATTTGAAAAATAAATAATAAAAATAAAACTGACAGTGCATAAAAATAAAAAAAAGTGTAATTTTAGCCATGTGTCCAAGTGTTGTACATTGTTTTTGTCTAGCAAACAATTTACATATACAATAACCATAAAAGGGTCAACTTGAAGCTGCACCCCAAACCCAATAATTCTACTTTGTCTCACTCTTTTCGGTCTAAACAGGTCTAATGAATAATTAAGATAACTTAACACTTATCACATTAGTGATATTGAGTAATCAAATTCATTGGTTAATTACAATGGTTAATCATATTTAATCACAGCTACCTAACATTGGGGAGCTACTCCAAAAAGAAAAATAAATTTTACGTAGTGGTTATCCAAAAGTGAAGGGTGGCATATAACACCTCACGTATACTTGGTTCCACCAATGTACAAATACACAAGACAAACAATTATATACTGGTGAGGTTTGGAGACCTTTTCGGGGAGATTTTTGCGAATTTTGAATGTTGGGAGTGCAACCCGCTGCTTTAGGTTTGCTGCTATGTTTGGATTGTTTCGGTAGGCTACTCACCAAGCTCACTACAACATTTTTTTAGTTTGGTGACATTTGAAGGTGTCAAAATTATTCTTTTAACGACATTTTTTAATCTTATGGCATTTTGAACAAGTGCCATCTATACCCGTGCCACGGTAGATACTTACAAGTGTCACTACACCATCATGGCTAAAAGCTTTCAATGACATATTGATGTCATAATACATACTATTTGTGACACTATTAAGTGCCATTAAAAAAAAAATTGTGGCACTTTAGTGACACTTGTAAATGCCATTACATCATCATGGCTCAAAACTTGCAGTGACACTTTAATGTCATGTGTACGGGGAGCAAATATTCCGGCAAGCCCGTATTCCTTTCTTCCAAGCTCCGTCGATGTCCGATCACCTGCGAGCAAGTAATGGTGAGCTACCCGGCGGTGTGTGGCCGGAAAAACCCTCCGACGGTCAAGTTAGCACACACCTTAGGATGGATAGAGAGAAGGGAGAGAGTGTTTGAGTGTAAGAAATCCTTACAGATGTGTTCGTCCGTCCAGTATGGGGGGCGCAGGCATGCTTTTATACCTTCTGAGCCCCATATCCACTCCCAGTCATCTCCTGACACGTGGTTCTGCTATCCCATCTGTCAGCATAAACCATGCCGTTCATCACCTGCTCTCAACGCACCAGCCTTGCATCAAGATTCCAACTGTGCAAAAAGTTATGCTTGTTTTAGTGAAGGCTGCTCAGTTTCGGTCTAACCGGGATGATGCCCAACTTCAACCAATCATATCTCTGCCCTCCGGTCTCGGATTTAAGAGATTCTTGAATGAAAAATGAAGCCCCGGAAGTTTTCTTTCCAACGGTGGTGGCCTCATAGTTTGATTCCAAGTATCCAAATGAATAGGCCCGATTCGGCGAGGGCTGCTCGACTCTTTCTTCACAGTTCATGCCCATTTTCTCCCCCAACTGGGTTTCTTTCCTCTTCTCTTCTTTTCTTCAACTCCAAACCCCTAC